GGCTTGTGTTCTTCTAAGTGAAAATGTCGTCAACAAGAATAATATTTCGCGATGTCCCCCACTATTACTAATATCATTTTTCCAATTATATCTGTTCACCTACCTCACTCAATTTCTTCATAATTACTAAGATTAATTTATGTCATGTAGGTGGAGCTTAGAATAAGCCGACTGCATCCATGGCAGGAGGATAACACCTTTTTATTTGCACCCACGTCTATCCGGACAGAAAGTGACCCTTTCCCACCAAAAGGGACACTTTTGGGGCAGATAGACGTGGGTGTCAATAGAAATGATGACTACCTTTAGTGCAAATCCGGACCGAAGTCTAAGGATGCTAACTTCTCCCGCAACAGTTTGCGCAACTCATATAACCTAAGAATTTCATTGTGTATTTTTTTACGGGCTGAGACATCCTCTAGGACATATGGCAGAGTGGATAAAGGCGTTAGTTAGATCCAGTGACACAACACAAAGAGTGTGAGTTCAATACCCGGTTAAGGCAGTGGAGAACTTTGAGAGGGGAAGACAGGAGATAACTGATAACTGAGATCTATTAAACATGGCACGTGGAACTAGAACAGTCTACCCCAGTGAGCGAAATAAAGGGTTCAGTTCGACATTCCAACTACCTGAAGAAGGCCGGAGCGTACAACGGCCGAAACGTTCTAATAAATATGACAATAGTCCGAATAATGTAAATAGTGTACATAATGCCTCATATCAGAAATATAGACAGATACATCCCAACGAGTTTTAGTAACAACAAATAATCATTATGACGATGAATTTTATCACCACCTTTTCTGTAGCACACCTGATATCGCAACTAATCGCCACTAGCATTACTCTCATTAGAATCCATCTTGTACATTTATAAATCTACAGTTTGTTCGTGCATTGAATATTGTTGCCATATATGGTCTGGTGTTCCTGACAAAATTCAAAAAAGGTCTGTATTGTAATCGTTCCTAACCTGGCATTTCGATTTCAGTCACTTTCCCACCAACTTGACGCAGCTTCCTTCTGTCTTTTCTACAAATATTTCCATGGTAATTGTTCTGATGATTTTTTTCCTTTTAAGAGTGCTACTAGATTGATAACTAGATCACACAGTGTAACTGCTGAACTAGCGAGATGCAACATTCTAATAGTTTCTCTTCTCACTCTTCCAGACCACGGAACTTCCAATTTCTTGCTTCAAAATTTAAATGCAACGCCAATCGCTATCTTCAGTCTTCCTGAACCCTGTTCCTCTATTATCTTTTCCCTCACTTATCTTCACTAAAGACTTCTCATTCTCTTTCACTCCCAGTAACCCATTGCGCCCTAATAGTAATATCGGCTTGCTTTGGGGTGAAATAATAATAATAATAATAAAAAAAAACGTAATTTAACAAAAACAGATTATGAACATAAACTTTGAATGGTTTCTTCACAATTTTGATTTTGATGTAAAATTTTTGATTTATATGTACATCTTATTCGAATATTGACAGATCTTGTCAGTTGAATTGAAGAAAAGCTTTTTTTCTATTTAGATTTACATTATATATATATATATATATATATATATATATATATATATATATATATATATATATATATGTGTGTGTATGTATGTATGTGTGTGGGTGTGTATAAAAGTGGATATTGAAGTTAATATCCCGAAGCGACAGTGTTTCATGCTAAACGCAATCGTCGGGACATCGATTGCGTTTAGCATGAGACAGACTCGCCTCTGGGTTTTGACTTCAAGGTCCACTTTCATATTTGCATACACTCTCTCCCTGAGATTGAGCATTGTTGTGGACCCGGAAGAGGTACGAAAGAAAACTCGAACTCAGTAATTCAGTGAAAACGTATTATTAACAAAATAAACGAATACAGAAATGTTGCACGTCCGTCTGACGGCTAAGTACAGTCGTCACCACCTCCACCTGTCTACAGTCCTCTTGCGAGGCATAATATAGTCATAAGACGAGTCTATTTTGTCCATGAAGGTAGGTCCCCATAACAAGCACTTTAATCCATTAATGTAGCATACCTTAAAACTATATTTTATCATATTCATTCATTCATTCATTCATTCATTCATTCATTCTTTCTTTCTTTCTTTCTTTCTTTCTTTCTTTCGTTTGATATTAAACAACACCTATATTACTAAGATTATCTATAATAAATGCGAATGTCAGAGTGTGACTGTGTCACACTTTTTTAAAACTTTACTCCTAGAGGCCGTAACCCAACATATACAATTTTTAAATCAGGCCGACCCCGTGAGCAAATTAAAAGCATTCTGGTCCTGATCCGGTCCCTCAATCCTGAAATTTTGAAAATGTTTTTTTAACCGAGTTTTGCGACAAATATTTTTGTACGATAACAATTTTAATAACCTGGAAATAAATTTGGATATAATCGATTCCTCCCTAACTATTGTGATGAAGAGCCCTCCGCAGTATCTAGAGACTTTTAAGTTTGTATGTACCATTAAATTTGATATATATATATAATTTTCTTTCATTTAAATTAGTCACTTATCAAATTCTGCCCTGAAAATGATAAGTTCTTGAAAATGAAAAAAATGCAATATGAATCACCATCTCCTGTCTTCCTGAAACCTGTTCATTTATTGAATTTTCCTCACTTCTTAAGTCTTCTCGTCCTTGTAACTTCCCGCATCTTAGGGGCTTTAGCGCCTTGCTTGAGGTGAAATGTTTAAATTTTTTTTCCAATATTGACTTCTATCATCCAAACCCCTCCTCTCTCTAGTACGTTTAGTTTCTGCATTTCGTATTTTAATCTACTTATATTATCACCTTTTTACCAAACTCGTTTTAAAGACCTCACTCATTCGTTCTTCTTATCCGTCTAAGTGCACATTTGTCTTCACAACTCCGTTGACATAACAACCAGTTATTTCTCTGTTTATTGACCGAACATTGAGCCTGTGTCTTCAACGTCGACGACCCTCATCCGCCACAGGAAAAAAATCGATAATAACATATTTTCATTGTTACTCAGCCTGAAAACTTATTTCAGTGAAACGAAACTCTGGCAATGTCGTCTTCTTGCTCTTTATATCTCACATCGTTCCAGTTTGGTTTCTCACAATTAAACTAAAGTCTACATGGCACTGAATGTTAGATAATCTCAAAGCTGAAGGAGAGACTTGAAGCAACAAAAATGTGACTACAGAAAATGCCGAAAATACTATGGGCCAAATATGTGAGAAACGATGAAGTTTTAGAGAAAATGGAATAAAAAGGACACTTATACTTAACACCAGAAAGAGACAGTCGAAATTTCTAGGACATATAATGAGGAAAGTAGGCTTAAAAAATTTGATACCCACAGCCAGATTGAAGGCAATAGGGACAGAAGAAAATAATGCATAAGCTACCTGGTGAGCTTGAGTAAATGGAGGACGGGACAACGTGTTTAGGAGAGATAACAAAAGACACAATTTATTAAGAGCTACAAATTACAGAAAATTACGCCCTGAAAGGAAACGGTACATAGAAAATTAGTTTAAAACAAGACAAATAGCATTTAATCAAAACTAAAATTATGTCCTATGACTCACTTTTGTTGTAAAAGATTTGTAAAATTAGGAAGATGGCAATTTTTTAAATATAGATTATGGCATCCTTACGTTCCTGTTAAATTTTGATTTTATATATCGTTTAATCCACTTAGTGGAGTAAAGCGTTAATTCATGACTTTGGTGATATAGTAATTGTGAGTCCAATCCCTGGCTCTGGCAGTGTGTATTTGAACTCAGTGGTAACTGAGTAAAAACTAAACACGAAATATCCTTAGACATGGGCAGTGGAACGAGAACAGTATATCCTCGTAGATTAAATAAAGTGTTCCCTGTAGGTTCCCCGGATCGACATAATATACACCTGATGAAGGCTGGAGTGTTCAACGGCCGAAACGCTGTGATAACAACAACACAATTAGGAAAATAGTCCTCATGTAAATAATGAAAAGTGTCCATATAACAATATATATATATATATATATATATATATATATATATATATATATATATATATATATATATATATATATATATATATATATATATATATATATATATATATATATATATATATATATATATATATATATATATATATATATATATATATATATATATATATATATATATAAATATAATTTGACTTTATTAACGTCAGGCTATATGACGGTTCCGTGTAGGATACAGGTTCGATTCCTGTCGGTGGACACATATTTACTATTAAAGTTTTCAGACATTCAGGCCAGTAAGTGTTGTTAACATTGTTTATTATAAACAGAGCATTTACCTAGATATTTGTATCTATAAATATAACGTATAAACAATAAAAATATTAAGATAATTATCGGACTTATTCCATTTCATTATATATATATATATATATATATATATATATATATATATATATATATATATATATATATATATATATATATATATATATATATATAGTCCATTTATTTATATATATATATATATATATATATATATATACTTTACAATTGGAATTAAGATACTGAAGTCTCTGAACTGCAACTACTTCGCAATCCTGCGTCTTCTGATAACTCTGACATATGCATTTGCAGCTATCCTACGACAAGCTGGACTCCCTTCCACAGCTTGACTGAATTGAATCTGTGATTTGGGTCATTATTGTAAAATTACCTCATCAAAATTTTGAAAGAGACAGCTTATTCCATCCATCACTGAACTCAGGCTGAATGCTGAGCCAAGCACGAGCCAATTCTTACGGATATACTAACGATCTACTGCCATTTCAACGAAAACTTTCGACTTTTTCTGTTTTTAGCGTTTATTGACTGGAGGCACTTCCTTTCCTTGTCGGTCGCATTCCATGCTCAGGGGAAAAAGTAAAAGCGTTCATTTATTCTCCCCTTTTAATAGACTGCTTTGTTGTACTAATTGGAAGGTTTATATTTCTTAAATATCGCAGGTATCTATCTATCTATCTATCTTTATTTGTCTTAGTATATTCATTATCTATCTATCTATGTCTCTTTATCTGTCTCAGTATGTTCACTATCTATCTATTACAACCTGCTTAGATGTATCTTCATAGCTACCTAAATGTCTAGAAATAACTAAAAAGAATTTTCTGCTATTGCTACCAGTTTGTCTTTGAACACTTGCGACAACCAACACTTCACATTGACTTGAAACTCATGTTGTCCAACAGTTTCTATCTTATTGTATTTGCAAGAATTGTCAATTTAATATAGGTCAGTTCAGCGCGTGTGTAATGGTTAGTACACTTTTCTCGCTAGATCAATTACGGCTGAATAGTTCGTTTGATTCTCACTAGGTGTTTTTTACTTCCGGCTTTATCATACATGTAAACTATGCTTAGTCATCATCATCATTCGACCGTAGTCAGGATCATCGAGCCAATGCTAACGATCCTTTATTTAGCTGTTTAGTATGTGCTACGCCAGGCTACATACGCTTTTGAATTCAGAGTTACTTTCTTCTAGACCGGTTGCCACCCAAGGCTATAGAACCAAGTTATTTACCTATAGCTGGGGGAGAAGAGGATTCATACCTTTTCCAATGGTATTAGCACGTAAGTGAATGTAATGGATCCGACCGGAATTCGAACTCGGCTCTTCCTCAATCTATCCATTACTCCATCGTGCCTTCCTCTATGCTTATCACTATAAATATGATAGAGATTTATATGTCGTTATCTATCTAAATATCTATCTGATAGTTGTATAGTTTGTATTGCTTATTTTGTGGTTAACTTAATCAAAAACAATGACTAAATTCCCGTTTCAGTTTGGACCAACCAATTGTCTTCTGGAATTGCCCCCAGTCATATAAATATAATTTACTTATCTTTTGCTTTGCGGGTTAAAGTTTGACCCAAAAAATCAAGAATGAATTTAAACATTCAATCTAACCTCTATCGAAAATGACCATTATTTAGGTTTCATTATTATCCCTAATTAAATTTATATCCATCTTGTAAGCTTTATTTAAAAAAAAAAATGAAAAGAACAGAAATAACGTGATTCCTCATGTATAATACGCATTTTTTTCTAAAAATATTAAGCAAAAATAAGGGTTCATATTATGCACAGCTACAAAAAAATCTTTAAAAAATTTTCGTAAAATAAACTAAAAGTTATAATAAAACTAAATTAGAATAATATTATTCTATTTAAAAATATTTTGTTTAAAATAAGAGTAGGAAACGCTGGCCGTAATGAAATTGGAGAGGTACAATTTATAGGGATTGTTTATCAAACAAGGAGTGCGTATTATGCATGAGTAGATGGATTTTCGCACACTTTCAGCACACTTTTGGGTGTGTGTATTATGGATGAAGGCATATCTATCTATCTATCTATCTATCTATCTATCTATCTATCTATCTAATTCTATATTTATCGGTCTCAGTATGTTCACTATCTATCTATCTATCTGTCTATCTATCATGGGGGATAACGGTAACAAAAAAGAAAACACAACTTGATATCTTTATGATTATTAAATAAAAATAAACATTGAGATTAGTTCAAAAGAATTAAGCCGAAAACAAAAAAAAAAAAAAAAAGAAACGTTCACTTACCTTTCTTGACTTTCCCTTTGGCATAAAATTCCTTTTTCTTGCTACCGTCTTTGCCAAGCGATACAATTTTGACTCCCTTATTTTTTTTCTTTGGTTTGTCCACCTGGATTGAATGGGCATGGAACTCAAACCCTGCTGGTCTTTCGTAAATGGGTCCGCTTGCTGTACTGCTTGTTGCTGGCGATAGTGCCTCTTCGAAATCATGGTCTGATTCCCAACATCCGCCAACGTCTTGTAAGGACGGAATGCTATTCAAATCAGATTTTGATGCTCCTGGGTGGAAACCATGGCTCAGAATTCCTTTGTCATTTTCCGTATTAAAAGCTATTGGCTTGAGAAGCTCATTTTCTACACCGGCCGCCAACGGTGGCAGTGTTCCATGACGTTTCCTTGTGATCATCGCCATCCCGAACAATGACCACGCGGTTGTCCTTATTTCTGCTTGTACCGATTGACTGTTTTCTGTTATTACCCTTAACCGTCTGTGATGTGTCGTGACAAAGTCCGGGAGCTTTCAATGTTGTATGACATCATTCACAATGTCAAAATCGATTATCGTAAATCATTTAAGAGAGAATTGATTAAATAATAAAGCTATAACTTGCAAAACTCTGATTCAAATCTTAAATGTGTCAAATAATCAAAAGATTTATGAACTCTCACTTCTTCAATCAATCATTAGTTACTGACCAGGCGAAATTGGTTCAAATATATTTTTTAAGGACGTCCGTGTTTACTAAAAAGAACGAAAGGATGTTTGTAAGTCGGAATTTATCTGTTCGCTTTTGTAATGATCTTAGTATTAACTGTTGCTATGGTTGCAAAAAGGAAGGGAGATGAAGATGACAGAGTGTGCTCCACTTGCTGTAGTTGGGCTCAGCTCGACACACCATAATAATAGGATGCAGGTAATCTGCTCTAATGAAACTAGACTAGATTCGAATAGTTCAATTAAAGTGTTGTTCTCAGGTGGCAGACATACATACAGCAAACGTAGTCATTGGACACATGATCGAACAAGTCTCAACTTGTCGCAAAGAGTCCAAATCAACAGAAAAGAAATGAAGCGTAAGAGATATAGAGAATAAAGACGAAGAGAGAAAGAGATAGAGAGAGAGAGAGGGAGAAAGGGAAATAATGTGAAAGAGAAATAAAAATGGTGGAGAAAAAACGAGCAAAAAAGGAAAGAGATGGAAAAAAAAAAAAAAGAATGACGAAGAAAAAGAAGCGAAAGATACAAAAAAGGAGAGAGAAAGTGGGAGAGATAAAACAAGAATGAAATTAAAAAAAAAAGAGTGACGGAGAAAAAGACGAAGGAAAAGAAGAGTTAAAGTAAAGAAAGAAAAGGAGAGGAAAAAGTTAATATGAGAGAAACAGGGAAAGAGATGCAGGCAAAGAGAAAGAGATATGATACAGTAATGAGAAAGAGAGTCTCTGAAGCAGAGATAGAAAGTAAGAAGAGAAATAGAACAATTAACCGAAAAAGAGAAAAAAAGAAAGAAAGAAAGAATGAATGAATGAATAAAAGAAATATAGATAGATAAAAAGAGAGGAAAAGAGTAAAAGCAAATGAAATAAAAAGAACTAAAGACGGTTAGATTAATAAATAAATAATAAAAACAAAATAATAGAAAAAGAGGAATAAAAGAGAGAAGTATAATGAAAGTGAGAGATGAAATAAATACAGAGAAAAAGAGTGTGATAAATAGAAGGAGAAAAGACAAGAAGAAGAAATATATTGAAAGAACGCGAGAAAAATAGAAAGGGAAAGAGAAGAAAGAAAACGAGCTAAAAACAAAGACCAGAGAGAGATAAAAAGAGAAAGTTTACAGAGTACGATGTTATATTTTAATTTCGCGTATGCGCGTTGTTTGTCTTTGATTTTGTCGACTGTACAGTATAGTAGGGTCAGTTGGGCACCGTCTGTGAGAAAAAGAGCGCCATGACTCAATTCACTCAGTCAGAAATTTGGAAACGACATGATGTATTGCATGACATTGGCACCGAAAGCCCCAATACGAACATTTCCCAGTGTTTGGGTGTCAATCTGAGGACAGTGCGGAGGATTCGGAAAGTATTGGATGAGCTCATAAAGGCAGCTCAGAAAACTCACTCTGATCGTTCTGATGAGAAAAGAACTCCCGAATTTATTGTTGATGGCCTCAGAAAAAACACGGAGGTCAACATCATCTACCAACAGACACTATATCTAGCAACAAAACTCTGCATCATGTCACACAAGCAGGAGAACCCGGTCATGGCTCTCAGACAATTTCTGCGACCACATCACCTCTTAAATCTGGCCACCTAACTCCCCAGACTGCAACCCTTTGACTATTATGTGTGGGGCGCAGTTGAACGAGCGACCAACAAAACTCCTTGTAACACCAAAGATGAAGTGAAGGTAAGGATTATGCCAGCATTCACCACCTTAAACAAGGTGACCGTCCAGAAGAGATGCAGGAGATTCTGAAGTAGTCTGGAGGGTGTGGTTGAAGCCAATGGCGATTTTATTGAATAAATTTACTCTTTAGTATTTCAAGATATATTTGTGTAATTTTGTTAAATATATCTGTTATAAATGAGATGTCAGTATTATTTTCATTTTTGCATAATTTAGATGATAATTTATCCATCCCACCCTATATATATATATATATATATATATATATATATATATATATATGATAGATAGATAGATAGATAGAGAGAGAGAGAGAGAGAGAGAGAGAGAGAGGATGAATGATATAAAAGAGACAGGAAAAAATGACAGAGAAAAGGAGAGGCAACAGATTAAGGCAGTTGCCATGGTGGTGATGTATTGTTTGTATTCAACGCACAAAAGGAAACGCTCCTTCCAAAGAAACGTGACCTGCGACTTGGTTTTTCATTTTCTATTCGTCATTCGCCACCAAATCAATCGTTTAAAAAGAAAAAATTCCAATTACAATCACATAAACACAGTGAATTCTGTTGATCAGCGCACAAGTATAGTTATACACAACCACATAGACGCACGCGCCTATAATTAAAAGTTGTTGCGCATGCGTTCGTGCATAGAACATCCGCACGGAAATGATTAATAAAAGTACGCATACCGTTGAGCAGTGAATTGGAAATTAATTAACCCGTTGTTAGCAAGTTTTATATTCTTTTAATCGGTATCACCCCATGCAAAGGAGTAAAGCCACTAAAACACAAGGGTTTACAGGGTGTGGAAGAATTAGGAACAGAAACATTAATAATGAGTTGGAAGAAGAAAGAGGAATCAGGAGGACAGTAGATAGCGATTGACATTGCATTTAAATTTTTACAGATTAAAGTTGGCTGCAAGGCATAGAGTCGGTTTGGGGTTCCACAAGCGAGAAGTGCGAGAAAAAAAACTGTTAGCATAGATCTTGACGCCAGTCCAGTACTGCGCTTAAATTCAAAAAGTCAGTTACCATGAAAGTATTTATAGAAAAGACACGGAGGTGCAACCTTACTGCAATGGAAAAATGACTGAAACCGAGCTGCCAGATCAGGAACAGTAATATTTCTGATTCCTCTTTGGATTTTATCAAGGAGCTCACAGTAAATAGCAGGGGCACCAGACCTTATGTGGCAGCAATATTCTAAGCATGGACTAAGTTAGATCTTAATTTTGCGAACTTCGTCACAAGGTCATACTTACTGTGTTGAGTACACAGTAAATATGACATGCCGAAGTTCGCAAAATCCCCAAAATATATGAAACTTGATGCAGGGTAACAGTTAGCAGGCTAAATATCGCAAGCCATTGTTAATGAGTTTGACCTGCTCAAGATTATTTCATTTAGGCCAAGTCATTCTAAGAGTGTTACCGGTACCACGTAACCCAGTACTACTTGCCGTATGATCGGCGACTAAACAGGTTCCACTCCACTATCAAGCTTTTCTGGTGAGGGGGTGGCTAGACACCAAGTAGGATTAAAAACAATATCTCAAAGAGCAGATAAGCCTTCTTGTAGCTTTAACAGCCATCTAGCACAAAGGAGAAAATATACAACCAGTTCGGTGATGACACATAATCGCCGGGTGATATTATTATTAAATCAAAACGGTATTTACTAATTATAAATGGAAAACTTACTATAATTCAACGATCCCCAGTATTTTAAAAAGAATTTTGATTTCTTTTGTGTCTGTATATAAATGTGTCGATTTTTGTAAATACGGGCATCCATACACGATACTATCAGACAATAATAGGGGTACCTATAATAAATCAAAAGTTCATGGGTAATTTTCTAACATTTTCTCAACAAGCATCTTTGTAATTATGCCAAAGCAGTTAAAATTCGATAATATATACATATATAAGGGGTTCACATTGAATCCTTCAATTAATACTTATGTTTCCCTTACTTAAATTTGTCAAACATCAGACTGTCAATAAATAACTCAACACGTCAGAAAAACACCCATTCCGTGCCAAAAATATGCTTTTCTGCGATATTTTAAACTAAAAATAAGTAATATTTGTTTTAATCCAGATTAATTCAGCTTTAAAACAGCTAATTTTCCTCAAATAACGTTTCAGAAAAATACGTTTTATTTTTTAAAGATTTTTTTTAATAAAGTGGATTATTTTGTGTCGACAGAGCTGTCAATATGGATAAATTTAGAACTTTTATATGAATTTATACATTTTACTGATAAGAAGAAAAAGAAAAAGATTCCAACCAATTGTGTTTTGCTTATTAGGAATATAAAATTTAATCTATTAAGACCAAAAATTAAAGCTTCAATAAAGATTTTTCATTTTTTAAATTTATTTTAAACGGTCAGGCCATCCTGACGATTGTGTTTAAACAGCAAACTGTCGCCGCTGGGTGTTAACCCAAATGTCCACTTTTATATTCACATACTCTCTATCCATGATATTGAGCTCTTTAACCCATAAATATAGCATACCTTGAAACTATATTTTTATTATATATATATATATATATATATATATATATATATATATGTGTGTGTGTGTGTGTGTGTGTGCGTGAGGGTAGTAAAATTGTCTTCGAGGATGACTTTTGCTAAGAGTACACACCTTTAGATATAACTAACCATATCCCATGTGATTTTTCATCCAGCTGCACACCACTTTCCTTTTTTTTTCTTTCTTTCTTTCTTTCTTTCTTTCTTTCTTTCTTTCTTTCTTTCTTTTAACAGACTAATGGTAATTGTGAAAGTCGTCGTTTCCATAGAGGAAACATTCGGCATTCATTGACCAAACAATTATCGTGATCGTCGGTTGAAATTTATGAAATCTTTTTCTTAAAACAAATTTTCACGAAATTAGACTTATCAAGTCCATTGGGTGTTATAACTCTTTTTAGTACTGATGTTTACTTCATTCCAGGATTTTTTTGTTTTCGGTTGTGTGGAATGCTAACATCATGGTTATATCCTTATTTTCATTTCTAGTTATAATTGCCACCTATTTTAGTTGTTGCTGCTGTTGGAAGTCTTCAAGTGATGTGGTTTCTATTATTTGGTAAAGCTCTTTATTCGTGATTCTGTAACGTCAGTTCATAGGGTCTGATAGGTATTATCTTTCTTTAAGACGTTTTTCGTCATTGATCTGCAGAAACAGTTATAAAGGCTGTTCCAATAACTTGAACTGATTTTAAATGTGAATTAAGTTTAAGCGTCTAATGATTTTTTCTTTTTCTTTCAGATTTGGCGAACATTTGGGCAATATTATTTTTCACACATAATTGCCATGACTCAAATAACATGATCCAATAGACAAATAAATAATTTTTTTCTCAATAACACTGATTTATTCACTGCTGACTTTGATCTGTCTTAATGAAACACCCTTATATATAATCCGTCTTAATGAAACACCTTTTATATAGATGAGAATTTGGACATTTCTGAAGGAGCTGGTTGTCATGCATGATATCAATATGAGAGTCTAGATGTGACAAGGCTATTTAAGAACACGACAATTTTTTAGGTTAATATTTTTTGTCTTGTAGCATCATGCGGTTTTATAGAAAACTATCTCTATCGCGCAACATAGCCTATGTTCAATTTCTTTACTTTTTGTACTAAATTTGTTAAGTATCCAGACACCGAGGTATTTCAAATAAAGCATATTTTTCTTTGAGTTTTTCTCCCCTAGCCAAGTACATTTTTTACCTGTTGTTAAAGATTTATTTCTGTCCTTTTTTCCAGAGCATTTGTGTCTATATATTCAGAAAATATTTAATGAATAAAGAAAAAATCAACATTTAGCCCGGTGTAGGCACCTCACGTCCACACAACCTGCTTCCACCTGAACATATAAATATTCGGACACTTGTGACATGTTTATGTTTCTTTGTTTCTATTTTGCTCAGGTAGCCATGATCATCTCGTATCATGTTGCGATGTCACAGGAAAAGAATGCAGCGGCAGAGTATGTTTGATTAATCAATGCGAAACTATTGCAAAAGACAGATGTGAAAGGGTGAGAGATCAGGCAAATAATCCCACAATAAACCCCTGAACATGCAAGCATGGGCCACTGAGCGTAATCCCTGTTTAAATGGAGGGGCTGCGGCAGATACTGGTACTTAATATATATATATATATATATATATATATATATATATATATATATATATATATATATACGGTTGAATTGTCGCCATTTTATATTTTTAATTTCGCGCATGCGCGTTGTTTGTTTTTGATTTTTTCGACGGTACAGTATAATAGAATCAGTTGGGCACCGCCTGTGAGAAAAAAGGACTATGACGCCATTCACCCCGCCAGAAATATTTGGAAATGGCATGCTGTACTGCTTGGCATTCGCGCCGAAATTTCCAATACGAACATTTCAGGGTGTTTGGATGTCAATCTGAAGACAGTGCAGAGGATTCGGAAAGAGTTAAATGAGTTTAATGGTGATTTCAAAGGTACGGCAACTCGGAAAACTCATTGTGAATCGTTCTGATCAGAGAATAACACCCGAATTTGTTGGTGAGTGCCTCAGACTTAACACGGAGGCGTCCATCAAGTGTCTTGAGGAGGTAGTGCTTCCCTGGGTCAAGAGGTTAGCTGGTGGAAGACCCTATGTTCGGCAACAGGACTCAAGCAGGAGAACCCAGTCATGGCTTTTAGACAATTTCTGCGACCACATCACCCCTTACCTTTGGCCAGATAACTCCCCAGACTGCAACACCCTTGATTATTATGCGTGGGGCTCAGTTGAGCGAGAGACAAACAAAACTCCTTGTAACACCATAGATAAACTGAAGGAAAGGATTATGTCAGCATTCACCAACTTAAACAAGGAGACTATCCAGAAGAGTTGCAGGAGATTCAGATGTCGACTGTAGGCCGTAGTTGAATCCAATGACGATTTTATTGAATAAATTCTCTCTTTAGTATTTCAAGATAAATTTGTGCAATTTTAGTAAATATATCTGTTAAAATGAGATATTAGTGTTATTTTCATTTTTGCGCAATTTAGACGACAATTTATCCATCGCACCCTCTCTATCTCTCTCTCTCTCTCTGTATATATATATATATATATATATATATATATATATATATATATGTGTGTGATGAAATACACGAACATATAAGAAACGTATATCAGTCTAACACGTTCGTGAGAGAAAATAGACAAAAAGACAGAAAACACTAATATTTTCAATTACGTTTAGATCAGTTCTTATTGGTCAGACACCTGTCACGTGTATTAAATCCGTGGATAATTCAATATGTATGTAAATTCTTGCATATATATATAGTAAGTAGCAGGCCATATATATATATATATATATATATATATATATAGTCATCAACAGACAGACTGTTTAGCTGTATCACAGCTAGTCATTGTGGCTAGACATCCGATGGCTTCAGGCCGGGATCGAAACTCGACCGATATGATATTCGTCTGAAACGCTTACCCCTAGCCTATCGACACACGACATATATATCTATATGTCTATTTATATCAATATATCTATTCATTTCTGGGCACACCCGCCTGCTAGAGCGGCGAGCTAAACCTTATTGCAGACGCCTGATCTGGCACATTTGTGTTTTTAACACACCCACAGAGCCCACCCGTGTAGTTTCCCGTATCTGTGCTTTTCGAACATGAAGAACAAGATCGAATTGTCAAGTTTGTGAATTCCTGATGTTGTTTGGTCTGGAGAATCGCTTCCAGTGTATGGCATGTTTGGAAAGTGTCCGAAAACCATACCACAGATTGCCGCAATATTTGTGAATAAATTGGGCAGAGGAAAATGTTTCGGAAGCCACGCGCCAATATATATATATATATATATATATATATATATATATATATATATATATATATATATATATATATATATATATATATATACATATATATATATATATATATAGTCATTTGTTTAGCTGTATCACAGCTAGTCATTGATAAAACCATACCACAGATTGTAAATTGGGCAGAGGAAAATGTTTCGGAAGCCACGCGCCAACGATATATATATATATATATATATATATATATATATATATATATATATATATATATATATATATATTATTAATATCATGGATAAAGTGTTCAATATCATGGATAGAGAGTGTATAATCATAAAAGTGAATACTAATGTCAACACCGAGTGGCGACAGTCTGTTTCATAGTTGAACGCAATATTTAGGTCATATATATATATATATATATATATATATATATATATATATTTTTTTTTTTTTCTAATAACATTTCTCAAATATTCAATCCGGTGGACAAAGATAAATAAATATATAGTTTAATAAATCAACGGAGCGTCTACTGAAATATGAGTATCCACTAAAATAACGTTCAAAGTATTAAAAGTGATAATATATATATATATTATTTACATCAACTGTGTTGCATACATTTGTATAGTTCGTGGTAGTATTCTAAAAGGAATTCCTTTTTTAGTTTCCGATTTAAAATTACTGTCGTCACTTGGTGCTGACCTATGTATGCAACTTTATATTTACTGTTGTCGTGTCCTCCCTCTAAAGAGTTTATCTGCAACACTTGTTTTATTATTTCTTTAACCATTTAATTGGTCACAACATCTTGGAACCCAAGATATCATATATTAAACAGTAAGTACAAGAGAAAAGTATTACACGACTAATGAGTGTGTGTGTGTCGGTTGACCCATCGTTCAATCTATTCGACTGTTGCGATATACCAGCCTCCCCACGAGATAGGATGTGGCACAAGGCCGGGTTTAAATTTCCCGTAGATCCTGTATAAAACGGGATCGGGTAGATATTTTCCTAGACGAGACGAGACTCTGCTCTTCGACATAGCCTCGTCTGGGGATCCTGTCTGCCCGGAGGCAGAGAGTTTGACCAGCACGCAGAACAGATCTATTCGACTGTTAATATTTAACCGCTCCCCCACCTCAAACGAGGGATGTATGTGGCACAAGGCCGAGTTTACCGTGAGTTTTCCGAGCCCGTAGGCTCGGCCAAAAATCTACCACTCCGGACGAAATTTTGCCCTTTGGCAAAGCCTCGTCCAGGTTCCTCTCTGCACAAGGGAGAGAATTTGACTGTTTAACAATCTAGGCGACTGTTACCCCAATGCCTTCTCTCCTACTAATCTTATAGTAGGCGGAAGAGTCCAACATAGACTTTTTAGAGGGAGGACACCACAACATTTACATACGCTCTGATATTGACCACTTTTATACATAAATATAGCGTACCATGAAACAATATTTCTCATATATTATAAAATTATATATATATATATATATATATATATATATATATATATATATATATATATATATATATATATATATATATATATATATATATATATATATATATATATATATTTGGACCCCCATTTAAATACACACGTAAAGTGGCATCGTGGTGTTATCAAGTACCTATAGAAAAAGGGTTTAGCCAAAAGGGTTCAGGGGATGATGCTCCAACTTTATCAACAGCGCAAAATTGGGCAGCTGGATTTAGGATGTGAAAGGGGAGTCTTGAAGATGACTGCAACTGACACCACCGAGGAAAACATTGATCGTGTTCACGAAATGGTGATGGGTGACAGGCCATTGACTATAAATCAAATAGCCAACGCTATTAGCAAATCACGTGGGAGAGTTGAGAATATTCCGCACAAGGAACAAGTGGATGCCACGTCTTCTGACATCTGATCAACAATGCACCAGGCTGGTCTTATTGCATTGCATGAAGTAGTAGAAAGTTGTGCTGTGTAGGAATATAGTAGTAAACCCATATTTAGCTGCCTTAAAAACACTGATAAACAGAAAGCATAAAATTATACTAAAAATGAATCCCTAGAAAATGAGAAATGAATAAGCCGAAAGCGTTTGAGACAATAGTCACTATTGACAGTTTTTACACCCTCTTATTCGTAAAACACTTTAGGAAAACCGAATAGAAAATTATCAGGTATGTATAAATGAAAGAGTTCTGCCCAAATATATATATATATATATATATATATATATATATATATATATATATATATATATATATATATATATATGTGTGTGTGTGTGTGTGTATAACATACTTTTGCCAGTTATTTAAACCAGAAAATAATTTGGGATTGTAATAATTTTTGAGAGATAATAATATACAAGTCCTACTATTTAATTCAAAGCTGGGTGAGAAATGGATTCATACTTTCCCAATTGTATTTATGCGTAATTAAATATAACGAACCCGACTTGAATTGGAACATGATTCTCTGACTTTCAATTCCGATCACACCATTACACCACACGCACATCCAAGCTTACAGCACCTGGTATTCCCACGCGAACACCGATCTAGGTACTGACCAGTCTGAACGTTGCTTAAGTTCGGTGATCGAACGAGAAGTGGTGTTTCAACGTGATGTGGCAGTAAGCTTACAGATCTAGTAATAAATAAAATAAAATAATAGTTAAATTAACACTATATATATATATATATATATATATATATATATATATATATATATATATAGATAGATAGATAGATAAATAGATAGTGTTAATTTAACTATTATATATATATATATATATATAGTGTTAATTTAACTATATATATATGGTTCCTCCGCAGAACTGGTACTAGAGGTTGTGGAGATGTATGATGTAGCACACACACACACACACACACACACACACACACACACACACACACACACACACACACACACACGTGCTCACGATCGCGCGCGCGTATATGCAATCCGACCTCTGGGCTGAGATTCATATTCTATAATATTAGGCCTAAACCCCAGAGGAACATTCCCCTAGGCCTTACCCATCTGGTGGCTGGTTTTATTACTCGACGCCTGAGGCGTCCCCAAAAGGGGATGTGCCGAGGGGACTTCGGCAATTTTTCCACGGTAGAGCCGTTAAACCCAACTTAAACCTCGACATGATGTCACATCCGGTTACCACGTGAGCGCCCTGGTAAATATGTATATGCGAACTCAGCCACAAAATTATATATGTATGTAAGAAGGTAGTTGGGCTTTTTTTTCCAAATCTTTGGCGACATATATACGCCATATATACGCCATATATACGCATACATGCTCTATGCTTATTACACAATTGTGCATACAGCATTCACGCACGTATGTTTTGCGTTGCTTCCCTGAAATGCTGGTACACGGGTGTGCACGTTTGCATATGTACAGAGTCGTGCACACGTATGCAGAAACATGTGTCGGCACGTGCAGATATGCTTATTTTTCTGTCTGTCTATTTATATGGCCTTTTTTGCCGTGAAAGCAGGGCATTCCTCCGAGAAAGCTGACGAAATTGCAAGCCCCGGAAATCTGTCTTTTTAAACAGAATTTCGGGATATCATTGACGTGTTTTTCTTTTACCATATTATCTATCCTTGACTTCCCGGGAGATATTAAACCAAGACATGCACTTCTTGCTTCTTGCGCTGGCATTTTCCATCACAACTTTGGGTAATTGTATTAAGACAAAATTTCTTTTATTTTTTTAATTCCTTTATGTTTGATCGATTTTATTTATTTATTTTCCTATGAAATTTCTCTGCAAACATTTCGCATCTTGTGTAAGATTCCTAGGAAGTAGCAAAAAGTAGCCTTATTAGTTGCAGGTTAACTTGACTGGTTGATTTAATGACATGACAATATTTGTTCGATTATGTAAACCATATCCTTCTTGCGTCAGTTTAAACTAACATTTTTCCCTATATAATCTAAACTAAAATTATAAAGTATAATTTTGGAAAGTGAAATCAAGATCTTTAAATCAAATGGTCACAGTATATGGAAAAAAAAGATAGCGTCTAGTTAATCCGTGATCTCCTGTAAAGTTTAAAAATTTATATATATATATATATATATAAATTTAAAAGTTAACATTGAAGTCAACACTCAGAGGCGACAGGCTGTTTCATTATATATATATATATTATATGCGTAAAAATTATGATATACTGTTATTAATATCTATCTCTTATATTTTTATCGTAGTTTACACGGTAAACATAATATATAGACACCGTGCATGCGTCCTATACTCGAGGAGTGAGTCACTCAATGATACAGAATTCCGCCACGTACAGGTCCTGTGTACTAAACAGTGAAAGTGCCATATAGAAAATATTATGCCCTATGATTATTATATATTCAAATAATATAAAAAGTTGAACCCCTTATTATAATAATCATAATAATATTGTATAGTAAAATTACGAATATAAAATTATACAAAAATTAATGAAAAATACATTAGCCTCTTAATCAGTTTCACGCGGAATCTCTAGCGACCTCTTGTGGAACCTTAGGGTTCCGGGCAACACCGTTTGAGAAACTATAATTATATGCTATAATTTGGAATGTGAAAATTTCAATGAAAAAATTTACCTGATATCAAGATAAAAACGAACTTTAAGCAAAATGCTTACATTATAAAAAAAAAAAAATAAGCCGTCAATTTAACCCATAAATTTCTCACGTCAGTTTAACCTTTCTACTCCATTTCTATAAGTACAAATTATAATTTTGGAACGTAAAAATTTCATTGAAATATGTTGGGAAAATTTCAAAGTTTTCGTCTGAAGTTAAATAAATACGACCATTAAGCAAAATAGTCACAATATATAGAAAGATGTAGGCGTCAATTTAATTCATATTTTTTTGTGATTTTAGTTTAAAATTTTTACTGTTTATTCGAATTATCTTAAAAACGTAATTTTGGAACAGGAAGATTTCACTAAAATATGTTGCATTAATTGCAAGTTTTCATCGGAAATAAAGAACTTTAAGCAAAATTCTTACATTATATGAAAAAAAAGAGGCACCAATTTAACCCATATCCCATTGGCGTCATTTTAAATTTTTTACTATACATCTAAAGTGTAATTATAAGCTATAATTTTTGCAGGTATCTAAACTATAATAATAAACTATAATTTTTCCATATATTTAAACAATAATTATGAAATATAATTTTTTGAAAGTGAAAATTTAGCTGAAATATATTGGAAGCATTTCCAAGTTTTCATCTGAAATGAAGAAAATACGTAAAAATAGTCATAATACATGGGAAAACATGAAAGCCTGAAGGATATGTTATGCGTGTTTTTTTAGCGCGTATACTTTTTGTATTATTAATGATTCAAGTAAACAACAAAACTCCAAATGTGAATCAACAAGTATATATTGAAATAACACACAAGAACAAAATATACAATAATTTGTATTCAATGTATAGATTAAGGGAAAAGAAGTTTCTTCCCTTTTACTGTATTCTGATTTGTAATTTATTGTTCAAAAGAAAGTTCTCTTGAGAAAGAAATGTTCAGAAATCAATGTTAGAACAAGTCTGCTGATAGAATAGATAACACAAGAATACAATTGATCAGAAAGTGTGTTGTGTTAGAGAAATCAACAGAGTCCTGGTTGATTGAACATGGCTGAGTCACAGAGTTATATGTATATATGTATTACAAAATTCTGTCTGTGTGTGCGTTTGAAATGTTGTGAGCAAAGTCATATATTTGTGTTGACAGGCGAAATTTACTGGACTCTACTGGCGGCTTGTGAAAAAGTCGCCTCTTTTAAAGCTACTGATAGGCTCCCAGCGAAACCGCAGAAAAAGTTGATTTTGCACTAAAATATGTGATTGGTTAAAAATTGACCAATCGCTACATTTGTACTAACGAAACAACAAAGCAAGTTCAAAACCGAAAAATTCAAAGCAACGACTGTGATGGCTAAATTGTCCTATAGAAAAGCGTTATTGATTTACTAGCCAATCGCAGACGAATAAAATGTGGGCGTGGAAAAACATAGCAGTCGCTACAGATATATGTTAATGTCGAATTTTATGTGGGGCATCCGGTTAGGATCAAACTCTGTAATCTGGGGCAATGTTTAACTTGACTATCATCGTAATCTATTATCAGGGACAAGTAATTGTTAGCAACAGGTAATAGATGTAATCACACCGTACTTTGAATCAGAGTAGCTTAACTATTTGTCTCTTTATAAATGACTGTTAAATTTATTTTCGTACAGTAGATGAAAAAATAATTGTAAATCCAGTACGAAGGTTAAGTTGCGTCAAACTTTCATGTGAAGAAGGCCCAGAAAATCAGGATTTGAAATTCGGATTTTTATCTAGGGTAGCGTCGCTGAGGAGCAATGGTTAACAAGCTAGCCGGACAGACTACATTTTGAGCTTCTCTTGGTGTCAACACTTGCAGTCAGGGGCTATATTAGGCAAAACTTAGTTATAAGGCTGTTTCACTGTATCGCAATGGTTAACGCATTAGTCTTGCACGCTATTACTTCTGTCGTGAGCTTGCACTCCACTGTTTATTTAAAACGTGACCTTGTACTCAAGCTAAGTTTAGTCAAAAAGAGTTAGAAGATTATGCTGCGTCAAACCTCAATGTAAGGAAGGCCTGCATGTCTATCTCGAAAATTAGGTTTTGAAATTTGAGTTTTCATCTATTTTTAGCTGTAATTTAAGTATTTTAAAAAATTGAAAAAAAGATTGTTGCTTTACTATTTATATAGTCAAATATACGAGTAGTACAGGTGAAAATTGCACTGTTATCCCATTTGACTTTTCAGATGTATAATAAAATTTAATAAATAATATTACTGCGAGTTCCACGACACCAAAATATCTGTGGAAATTTTCCTGTTGCATTGGTAAATATTTGAGTTTAACAACTTTACCCGAATATTAGAATAACAATCATAAGTATGAATGCAGGTCATTATTTAAAGAAGTAAGAGGGTACAAATGAAAAGACTGAAAAGTGACAAGGTTTTCTACTTAAAAGGAAGGTAAACACATGAAAGTATAATCGTCTAATCTTGGTTTTTTATTCTCACAAACCAGACAGAGTATTTGAGAAATCATTTCCGTCTTTCTTCGGAATCAAGACAGAATAGTCCATTATTTATAAAGTATTGGGAGGATCTTTCTTTCGTTCTTTTTCTTTCTTTCTCTGAAAGAAATCATCATTTCTGATATGTCTTTTTCATCTTTCTTTTTGATCAAAAAAGAATAGTCCATTATTTATGAAGTATTGGCAGGATCCTTCTTTCCTTCTTTTTTCTTTCTTTCTTTGAAACAATCATTATCTCTGATAAATCTTTTTCGTCTTTCTTTGTGATCAAAAAAGAATAGTCCGTTATTCATAAGTATTGGGAGGATCCTTCTTTTTTCTTTCTTTCTCTGAAAGAAATCATCATCTCTGATATGTCTTTTTCGTTTTTCTTTTTGATCAAAAAAGTATAGTCCATTATTTATGAAGTATTGTGAGGATCCTTCTTTCCTTCTTTTTTCTTTCTTTCTCTGAAACAAATCGTTATCTGTGATTTATCTTTTCCATGTTTCTTAGACAAT